AAATGACTGCAACGCATCATGATAATTTTTCTCCACTTAGCATAAAATGCATCATAAACATTGAAACACTAAACATGCCACATAATTGTATGCACGTTCACCTGAAACAAAGGTTATAGAGAAAAAATGTCAATATCATTTCACAAGGAACTTTTTGCACCTGGATATAAAATACATTGAAAGAATAAAAATGATGATTGCTTCGATTCCAAACAATCCAGGGGGCATAATTAATATGGCACAAATATAATCAAACTGCAGAAACCAAAAATGCATAATATGTCTGCTGCTCAAAATACTTGAAAGGATTAAAAAACCATCAAGTAGCTAATACCAAGGGACGAACTTATTACGGGAATCTGCGAGATCAAAAATCAGGATATCTATAATCAAATGATTTTCCATGTTTCTCCATCAGCTGGGAAATGTGCAAAAACAATGACCATCTAAATATTTCGTAAAACCTGCCTGTGGCATGCCAAATCCATCTCTCTGCCATTTTTTTTTTTGTTTTTTAAATAATCTTTGAAGTCTTTGGAACTCAAGCGGAAAATATCGAAGAAATTTTAAGCAGGTTTCATTTGAAACTGTTGTTTTCTTGTGCCAATTTTGCCTTCTTTTGCATTAGGAGTCATCTATGATGCTCCACAGACTTCACATAATACATTTATCATCAGACTAACCAATATCTCCCCAAAATTAAATGTGCATTTATAATAGGGCATGCTATGTATCTTTGGTATAACCAAGATTCCAAAAGCCTTCATTAATTTTTTAACTTGCATATGAGTTTTGGGAATGATTAGTCCCTTTCAGGAAATGCTTCAATAAGTAACCTATATAGCATATTCAAAAGATTCTTCGAGTCCAAGGAAGTTTTAGACATTTCAAACGAAATAAATTGTAAATATTAAATGTTAACTTCTAAGTAGAATTTCTTACATTCCCGGATATATTAACAATTTAATAAAAAAAAAAAAAAAACATTACAAAAATTTAAATAAGCATTTTACAAACATAAAATTTAAATTTTATTTTTTTATAATATAAATATTTTCTATCTTTTTTTTGAATGATTAAATTAGTATATTTAGATCAAAACAATCAGAATTTGATAAAAGGAAAAAATTTCGATTTAAAAATTTATTATAAATCAAATATTTAGTCGAAAAATTAAAAATTATTTTAAAAAATATATTAATATTGTAAATAACAAAAAATGGAGTGTTATGCATGCAATTGCCCAATTTAAAACAAGGTTGAAGAACATGTATCTTCATTTCAATTCGCGCTGAAGACGACTCCCTCTTCTTCGCGGGAAGCATCCGTGGTCTTTCCATTCGGGTCCTCGTAGCGACCCATAACCATCTACTTTCAGCTTCCTTACCCATAATTTCCACTTCCACTTACCAAAAATCCCTCCTTTTCCATTCATCTCCACAACTGGCTCACCTGGTATTTCGTCTCAATACCATCCCCAAAACTCTAGGTGGTCCCGCCGATGGCCCCTGCTCTAACCGCCAGCCGACGGCGATGGATCTTCGTCCTCGCCGCCGCTGGGATCTCCGGCTACGGTGCCTACAGATTCTATCACCTCCCTTCTGTCTCAGCAAAACGCCGGAAGCTCGTCAAGCTCTTCACGGCCCTCTTCTCCGTTGCGGAGGCTATCTCCTCTTCAGCCGACGCCGTCAGTCTCCTAACTTCCGATCTTAAACACTTCCTCCGGTCCGATTCCGACGAGATCCCCCTAAGCCTCAAGCAACTCGCTAAAGTCGCGCGATCCGATGAGTTTTCAACATCAATTTCTAGACTTTCCGATGCCCTAGCAGTCGGAGTCATTCGAGGGCTTCACACTGCATCGGATTCTCCTGTAACAGAAGCTCAGACCAGCTCAAGCTTCTCTGATAGGCTTCTCGACAAGCTTTTCTCTGATAAAGGATCCGGTTTTGCCTCGGTGGTGGTCGGAAGTTTCGCAAGGAGCATGGTGATGGCCTTATATTGCAGAGGAGATGCAATTGATTCTTGCGATGTGCCAGCTTGGGTCAATTTGATGTGCACGGACAAGTGTAGGGAGCTGATTGCCAGCAGCATTCAGCTTTTTGTGAGAACTGCTGTGTCTGTTTACCTGGACAAGACTATGGACGTCAACACTTATGAAGTCTTGTTCTCCGGCCTCACAAACCCCAGACACGAGGCTAAGGTCAAGGACATCTTGGTTTCTGTTTGCAATGGTGCTGTGGAAACAGTTGTAAAGACTTCTCATGGGGTGCTGAGCCGTTCAAAGTCAAGTTCATCGATGACTAGTAGGAACGATCTCAACCAATTTGGTTTGTTTCAAAGTTTGAAGAGTTCTGGTGATATCAAGAGCAAGTATAGTAGTGGATGGGTTGAGCAGGTTTCATCAGTTTTAGCAGTTCCGAGCAATAGACAGTTTGTTCTTGATGTGACTGGTAGAGTGACATTTGAGTCTGTGAGATCTTTTGTTAAATTTGTCATGTGGAATCTACAAGATGGTATGAAGAGGAGTATGAATGTTGTTAGTGAGAAAGTTGTCGAAAGGGGCATGGATGTGATGAGGTACTTGTGCTCCAAGGCTATGCTTGCTTTCAGTTTATGTATTGCACTCTGCCTGGACATTGCAGGTGGAAAGAGAATTTTGTTGGCTGCGTAATTTGCAAGTGATCATGTCACTATGCAGCTGAGCATTTATTTTTGACACGATGCTTCTTAGAAGTGTTCATTCAATGAAAGTTTTACGCAAAGGTGTGGATGATTTCCATTGTAGCTTTTTTTCCCCTCCTTTATATAATTTATGCTCTTAGAAGTTGTTGCAAATGTGAGTGCAAATATAGAAACATTTTTTTAATTAAAATAATGATGCAATTAATTGAATTGCTAAATCTAAAACTATATATTATGATAAATGGAGTTTATAGATCTTATTGTTGAGTTCTTTGCTAGCTCTGTGTTCTATGACTGTTTCTTGTTGTGAAATTGTGTTGTTTGTGTGGAATATGATTGTGTTGATCAATCGGGTTGCATTGTCACCATGAATCTCAGCTCAGTTTGTTGTGTTTGCTGGAGGGTGCTTGCACACAATTTTTTTTGGTACAATGTCATAGCGCTATGTACCCAAGCGCCCTAGCTATAACATCCCAAACTCTTAATTATCAAGCTATTTTTTGCTTTGGGCTAAGAGCCTCACAGTTTTTTCATGCTAGTGTAACTTTCCAGTAGGTCATTTATCTCAGAATTGCTTTGGGATGAGCACGCTTAATTGCAGAGTTTCTTAAATGAAATTCTAACCATTACACCAAAAGACACTTCGATGCTTAAGAGTTTAGCTTCTTTACTTAAGGGGTTTTACAATCTCACACACTTAAGTAACTAACGTACTCGTCAGCATCTTTATCCCATAATCATCTATTAGGCAGATAGGATTCTAGAAATGACCCCTACAAGTTCAAGTGGTGGCTCCCATCATGTAGCACTTTGTTCCATACAAGGTTTAAGAGGTGACTTCTATGGCGTAGCACTTTGTCTTGTATGACACTTAATTTCATCTTTCGACTGGTGTATTGCTCTGATACCATTTGTAACAACTTAAACTCTTAACTATCAAGATATTTTCCGCTTTGGCCTAAGAGCCTCACAGTTTTGTCATGTTGGTGTAACTTACTAGTAGATTACTCATTATAGAATTACTCTAGGATGAACATGCTTAACTACGATGTTTTTTTAAATGAAATTTCAATAATTACACCAAAAAGTGCATTGATGTTTAAGAGTTTAGTTTATTTTACTTAAAGGGTTTCACAATAGTTAATTGCCCCAGAATCAAATTTGACGGAATTGTCTATTTATCATTTTAAGAATATACCATAATTTCTATAAAACATTAATATAAATAATAACCAACTAAAATCATATACATAGTTATATTTTACTATTTAATCACCCAAAATGTCATTTACACTAATCGAGAGATCACTCTACAAAAAAATTAAAAAAATACATAACACAATTTAAAAAAAATCTGATGATCTCTGACAATCTCACTCAAACTGGTCATGACCAATTCCCTGACCTGAAATCATTAAAAATTTATATAACGAGCTCAAAAGCCCAACTGTAATCCAAAACTCACTAAAGATTTTAATACAAAAACTAAAAAATCAATATGATATGCTTAGTTTAATATAATCAATAGCAATCAATGTAGTTAATGACAAAATATTATCAATAAAATTCAAAATGATTAATAATAAAAGTAAGAAATCATTACAATGAATCTAAAAATTAATAATTGGTATAAAATTCAATAAATCAGTAAAACAACAGTGCAAAAATTATTCATAAATCACTAAAAGAATCTATCTTATCATTTTATATGCATCATCTATTTATGTATTATTAATATATCTAATATTGTCAATGATATTAATGTATATGTCAATCATCAATGCTATTAATATATGAATGTATCAGTATATGATTTAACAAGACAGGACATCTAGATTTAATGTGATGTTTTCAACATTTTTTACCCTAACTGATTCTTAGTTGGTTATCAGTCATATTAATTATCAGTTATCCAATTGATCAATTATCATATTCAATTAATCAATTATCATTAAACGTAGCTTCATTAAATCAATAAAAAGTCATCACTCTCTATCCGTCGGCATAATCGGTCATCTGTTACAAGCTACAAATAGGATAACTGATACAGACATCCGACCGTGAAAGCTTATCAGAGGAGGAGATGAAGATCGACGGCCTTGATCGCACCATTTTATTTTAAGTTATTATTTATATTTTTATTTATTTATGCATTTTCCATTTGTAGCATCACTTGAGGGAGTAGGTGTTAGTGACCCCATGGGCACCGTCTTTTGTTATGTATTTTAGGCTACTTATAGCCTCCTCCTTTCTTGTAATGGTTAATGGATTATTATGAAGAAAATTTCTGCACTTTGTTCTTGAGAGTGATGAGAGTGGAAGTCCCTATGTGAGGGCAATGCAATACCCACTAGGAACAGGAAAGTCCGAGCTCGTGGTGTGAAGTCCCTAGGTGAAGGGCAACGCATCACCCACCAACGGCATGAAGCGTCCGGGTTCATGGTTTTATCTCTTCTAAACTCCCTTTCCCTCCTATCCGCCGACCAAAATCTTCCCCAACCCCACAAGCCATCGGCCTATTTCCCCTTCTCTTTCCCTACCCCGTCCAAACCCTCTTCATCCTCCAAGCCGTCGGTAAACACGCCCTTTCTTCTCCCCAAATCACCAGCCAAACCCACCTCTTTTCCTCAAGCCGTTGGCCTCTCCCCTTCCACCTTTGCCTCAAAAAAATTGTTCAAATTTAGGTATTGAATAACTTCTTATTTTGGTCCATTCTAAACTTGGAAAGTTTTCGAAATTCAAAATTCAAAATTCAAAATTATTTGAATTTGAATTCTTTCCTAAAATAAGTTGACTTGTTTTGGAAATCTCCCCAATCTGACATTAATTAGAGATTCTCCCTTAATCCTCTTTCCTTAATTAATGTCCTATGTTTGAGAAGGATTTCAAATCCCCAATCAAGTTCCCTCTTGCATGACCGGCCCCTAGTCCCTTTCCCTCCTTAATTTCCCTTTTTCCTAAATTAGTTTGATATTAATTTGGAAAAATTTTGAATTCAAATTCAACTAAATTTGAAATTCAAATCCTTTCTTAAATTAATTAACATATTTTAGGAACCCCCTTTCAATCTTGGATTGATTAAAATATGAAATTGAATTGGAAATAAATCTAATTTTAATATTCATTGCACCTAGACACATTCATTGAATTGACAACCCCCCTCCCTTTCTCTTGGCCGGACCCCTTTCTCCCCTCTTAATTAATTCCCCCCAATTAACCACCCCAATTGCAGCAACCATTTAACATGCATCAATCCAAATTGATTCTTGCTTTAATTTCTCTAGCCACCTAAGCATCAATTAACTCCGAATTTCTTATCTAACTACTGGAATTAATTCCCGAATTTATGAATTATTGTCCTTTCCTTAATCTATCCCTAAATCTGGAATTAATTTCAAGTTTCTAGCTCTATTCTACATCAATAACACCACAAATTATCTTTAAAGGAAAGCCCGTCGGCCCACCCTCTTGCGCAGGGTATTATGTTTTAACAGCCAACCCATTTTATAGTGTTAATAGCCGACCTTTCTTGCTTATGCAGATGCCACAATTAAAATGCAGTATGAAATAATCAATTCTATTTATTATAAGAAAATCTATATAATAATTAAAATGATTGAAAACTAAAATGAAATTTGTATTACTTTCAACAAATAGAAGAGATCTCTGAATAAAATTGACAGATGAAAAATGCTCAAACAACATTCTCTCTCTTCCCCCTCTCTTTTTCGACAAGGCACGATACTGAAATTCAGATTTTCATTAAAAAAAAATCATTTAAAAAAATCTAATTATTATACTAGCACTGCATAGTTTATTTGGAGAAAAGACAGAGTGCATAGTGCGGCAACGCTTAAGATATGGCTCTGTGGCGTTGTCAGGCAGACTAGAGGCATAGTGTTTAGTGCCACGATGCTCCAAATTGGCACCGCAGCGCTACGAGGCCGACTAGATAGTTTTTCTTAAGGCAGCGTCCCTTGTTGGTATATACAGTATCTCTTTGTTTATTCTTGTGTAAAAATAGTATAAGAAAGAAGAGAAGCAAGGAGAGAGCGAGAGAGAAGAGGGATTTGTATAAATTTCTCCCAATTTTCATATTGATTTCTTGATGTGGTGTGGCTTTGTGGTTTTTTCCCGCTTTCGGATTTTTCCATGTTAAATCCTGGTGTTCTTTACTTTCCGCTGCATTTCTATTTTCTTGTTTGTTTCGTTGCGTGATTTACTTCCAACCCCAACAAATGGGATTTAATTGCCTCAATAACCTTTATCTTAAGGTTAAGATAAAATCTCCAAAATCTTTTATATGATTTGGAAGGAGATTTGGCCAATATTGTATTCAGATGTCTAGTAAAAATTTGCTACCAAACTAATGATCAGGTTCATTCGCCATCTATTACCCTGCCTATTTCTTTGCAAGTCTATAAAAGGAGATGCAATTAGCACATGAAAGATATATCTTAGAGGATCAAGAGATTAGTGCTTGCGACTCCTTCACTGGCTAATGGTTGCTGAGTTGTTTGATGTCCTACGATTATGCTGGGTGAAGGAGATCATTGATTAGCTAACGGAGACTGGTAAAGGAGATCATTGATGAGCTATCAGAGACTGGTGGGTGGCGAGGTAGTGATTGAAGGATAGCGAGGCTGCAAGCTTTGTTGAAGGCTTGGTTGGAGAGCTAAGAGTTAGCAACAACAAATCCGGTGGTCTTTCTCATGTAGAGTTCTTGAGAGGTGACTACAACTGCTCACTTCATGAAGATTAGATATAGGTGATATGGTTCTTAAGAAGACAGCAGTCTCCAAAAAGCACTATGATATGGACCTTAAAGGAAAGTTGAAAAGGATGCTTACAAACTATAAAATAAGTGATGAAGTGCCAATCCTAAGAACTGGAACTTCCACCGATTTCAAATTATTTTACTCTTGAAGTGCTAACCTGTGCTTGATTACATACAAGTATGCTGACATGCATGAGTTGAGAAGGGTGTTACATGGCTTTTGTGATCAAACAACTAAGTCCTAACCAACGAAGGGAGGGGGCATTTTTATTCGGATTGATATCTTTTGTTATCAATATTCATG